TGAAAGTTGGTGTTGTCGTTATAATTACATAATTATTTACAAAACGCGTCAATGATTAATCAATAGTATTGTAGTTATCGAAAATATCACGCGTTTTTAGATAATTAGTTAAAAGTCAGACTGCCTGTCGTATTTTATCACCTAATTACTAATTGGTATTCCGCCAGTTATAAACTGTCCAATCAGAGTATGACCCACGTGACGATCAACACTCAACAGTACACAAATTCCAAAAAGTAGTCCTTCGCTTTCGCTCTGGCAAAAATTGGAATTTGTTTACAAAACGAGATANCAAAACGGGATATTTTTTTTTTTTTTTTAAAAAAAAAAGGTGAGCTTACACAAATTAGCTACGATTCTAAACTCTTATTTTTCAAAACATTTTTATCATTAAAACAGTTACAGTATTTTAAAAAATCATTAAATTATTAGATGGTAATATTTTTTTATTTTTCAATACTACTTTCGCATCCTTGTATACTTTTTGTACAATTTTTAACATAGGTGTATAAAAATAACGTTAGTCTACAATCATCATAATAGTAATCTTTGCACATGATTAATTTAGATTATTTAATAGTTTCTCTATTTTTCTCGACATGTATTCATATAATATAGTAATCTGTAATTATATATAATATAATCTTGATAATAAATTGACTACGAGTCTTTATTTAATAAAGAAAAATTCATAAAATATGATATTAGTTCATTGATAAACTTAAAACAACAACATTTATATAAAAATACAAGAAAAATAATGCCATCTGAATGTTTACCGAAATAATTTCAAACTTGCTAAATAATTTATTCGATTCTTTTGCCGGAGGACTGTGGACCTTTGGGTTCAAGACCGGAGGTGAGCATTAATGCAAAAGGTTTTTTTAAACAATCACAATATAAAAAATATTTTTTTTTTATTTTTTTATATTTTAAATTGAGAGCAAATAGCCAAATACATAATTAAAAGTATTATAAATATTTTTTATAGAAGGCCTTTTTTTGGGATCAGGATCTCAACAACTTTTCATTAAGGTGGCATAACATTCTGGTGTATCATCTTGTAATTTTAGGTCGTTTTCCATCAATAATCTTACATAATAGGATGAATATCATGTTTAACATTAGTAAAAGGTTTACAACTCGTAGTAAGTTCCCACATAATCATGCCAAAACCATAAGTATCAGCTTTCTGAGAAAATTTAGACTCTTTAAAGATTTCTGGTACAATATAAGGTATCACTCCATATATTTCATTATTTTTCCATTCAATAATGAATAGTCGATTAAAATTCCATCCATCACGACTACCTAAATCATATAATATGTTTCTACTATGGAAATCTCGATGCATAAATTTTTTACCTAAAAAATATAATAAATTAATAACCTAATTTAAAGAGTATAATCAGTAAATATAAAATAAAAGTACCCATGTGAAACTTGATTTAAAATATGTATTTTTTGATTCTCATGTAATATTTTTAAAATTCTTCTGCAAATACTTATGTAAATCTCCTCCTGACGCATATCTCATAACTAATATATAATCCACTAATTCAGGAACTTTTGTAAAGCCATACGTTTTGTATTCTTTGCCAATTTTTTTATTTTTTTTCTGAATGATTATTATAACATATGAGAATCAATTAAATGCAAATTATATAAATTATATAAATTGACATTGACATTTATTATTCAAATAATATGACGACCATGTAGAATTTTGTGCAATAGCTTAAAAAGTGAAGTAGACGAATACCCATATTTGTTAAATCTTTAAGTATAACAAGAAAACATTCTTTATTGTACAACGTAAACAATATTGATCTCGTGATCCAAATAAATAAACATTTTTCCAAGCAAAATTGAAACTTTATTTATTTACAAAATTCATTATAGAATTTCGATTGTAAATTCTATAAATCAATAAAACATTCTTAGAATTCTACAAATGCTCTAGAATTCTCTATTTTTAAAGTGTTTGTCGTGTTGCTTTACTAAATTATTAATTATGTCTATACCTAATGTGGAAATATATTTTTTTTTTATTATAATCTTTTCAGTCTCCATTTTCAAATACTGAATGTAAATATGTCAAATTTAAAAATTAAAATAATAAAATGGAACCTTGCAATGAAACTTTTTTCAGCCAAAAACCAAAATTAAAATCCAGTCCAATACTAATTAATAGTGACGCTATCTCAAGTTGCGCCATATTGTGTTACGTCGTTGACGGCTATACTAATTTTCATTGGATCTGATGTGAAATTAGCTCGGATTCATGTAATGACGGCAGAAGACATGGGTCCGAATGATTACAAATCAAAACCGTACGTGTTTATTTAATATTCAATAGCCGATTTATTTTTTATCTTAAAAATTGATTATTTTCAGAAATGTTAGTAACCTGAAATGTTGAATATATATTTTACACCGAACACACCGAACACAAAAAATTCAGGTGAATGCATATATGTAAATAATATATAATTTAATATATACTTATGCAACTATATTACTAAAGTTTATATTTAATTTATAAAGGAAAAAAAATTTTTCCATTTATTGCCGTGTTCGTTGTCGTTCGATTTTGCAGAAATTGATCGACGTTCCAATTGCTGCAACGTCTTCAAATGAATGAAACGAATGAATGAAATTTCATAATGTTTAATATTACTAAGCTGTTGGAGCGTCTGAAGCGTTATAATCACATTATTAATGTATAATAAAAAGTATTAACACGCGTAACAAAATCACATAACATGATATTTATTGTCACACGATATACTCGATATACTATACTAGAATTTAAGTTACGCAAAAATGGGATTTTTCGTAGTTAGTTTGTAATGATATACGCCACTATAAATACCGAAATAGTATATAAAATTTGACGTCATATATAAGATTACGTGAGAAATTATTTTAACATGACTCATCATGGTTAAGTAAATACATGATTAAAATATATAAAATAGCCCACTTTTTTCTCTTTATTCTCTTTAACTCCTCGCTCCTTTCTTACTCCTTTTCGCTTTTCTTTTTCTTTTATTATTTTTCCTTGTTAAGTATGGTAAAGGGTAAGGTACAACCAACACACATCTCATTTAAACCGTAGGTACGTCCATCTTCCACGTCAAAAACTTTAAAAAGTTAAAGCCATACTTAAACAAATTTTTAATAAAATTGAGTAGAGAAACCTGTGTTTATTGCTCGATCGTCTTTCCCATATTACGTATATATACGTACGTATTTATGTATGTATGTACATAGTACGTATTGTGTATATATGTAAACCAAATAATTAGATGGGGGAATGAGAAAGCTTATTTTTGATTTTACAAAAATAATTTTCTTTCTTGTTCTGATGCACATGTGCATTTGTTTATTTGTTTTGATTTTTGCGTCTTTTATAATTTTCTTTCTTGTTTTGATGCACATGTGCATAAGTAGTAGTATCTGGGGCCAGAACATAACTAAAAAAACACAGTTACATGTAGAATTGATAAAGTCAAAGAAAAAGTGTCAAGTTGTGAATGTTATTATATTATATATCTATATGTCCGAACGTCTCTGCTCAATTTTTGTTCTTAAACAACCAAAATATTATTATTTTTTTTTTTAACCCTATTAATTATAAACTGGTTGTAACAGGTAAGTGGTTTCTTTTTTACCCTGAACGAAGCTTGCCACCTCTACGTGGTGTTCAGGAGAAACAGTTGTAGGTTAATAACTGGCCAAGAGCAAGCATTATTTTTTTTTACATATTTTGCATTGAATGTCACGTAAAAATGCTTATTCATAGTATTAGCATCATGTTGCATATAATGGGTCGTAAAATCAAAAAAAAGAAGTATGAGATTTTCAAAGTTTGAGTTGGAAACTCAACGATAATGGCGTCACAGCTCTTTTTTTTTTCTTTTAAAAAAAAAAATAACTATTGACGTTTAAAAGCGAAGTTACTACATTAAAGACTCAAATCAATCACTTAGAGAATAAACAAAAACTTCAAGACGGAATCAATACTCAAACCACAACTACGATCGATAAGATTAGTAACATAACTTAGAAGAATAAAAATCGATGTAACAGAAGGTATTAAATAAAAATTTTCAAATTAGATACGATCTTGAACCACATAATCTCGAATAATAACGATACTAGATCTCCAAAAAATATGCACACCTCAGATTCGGATGGCGATCAAACTACGTCAATGATGCCAAAGATCGAACTCCCACAACATTACCAACAAATACTCGTCTGATTCTAGCAAAAAGATAAAATATGTTATCCAAAAATGTGATACCAATGTTATTACAGATGCATCAGACGCGGAAATTTTACCCATTCAGGATACGGACGAACCTCCTTATTACACGGATAATGCAATTAACATGGAATTAACCGGCCAACAATTTACGACCCATGATACACCCAATTTTCCTTCTTATCGGATATAAATAATCACCATAATCTTCATTGTTATAGTTGCACTCAATTTCTTTTTAATGCCTTTTCTATTTTTGCCTTACTTTGTTAATTCAATCCCTATTTGAATTCAATCTCTATTTGAATTCAATATCTTACTAATTATGTAGAAAAATTTAGAATGCTGTTAAAAGTTTTTACATAACCTATTCACATAATGGAATATTAAATAATTTTTACATAATTATTTTTATAAATTTTTTTTTTGTATTAATAGCTTTTTTGATATTCATTCGAAATAAAAAAAAAAAAGAGTTGTATTATTTTTTATAAAACATTTATTGATATATAATGTTCATTAAATGATACTTTTTTTAACCTTAAACTTTATTATTAGACATTTAAATTTTGTTTGTTTTCGAATGTATTATTAATAAAAAGATGACAGTATGTATAGCAAAGGTAATTTCATGTCTAAACACCGTTTGATCTAATGCTTTTTCTTTAAATATAATTCCATTGTAATTTTTAATTTATTGATTAAAAAAATTCCTTGTATTTATAATTTATTCTTTAATTACTTGAAATACTTCATAATCTTCAACTTTAAAATTATCTGGAATTCCTAATTTAGGGTAGCGAATTCCATCATCATAATTATCATAATACCAATTATTAAATTTGCACTTTAAATTACCCATAGTTGGACCATAATCATTATGACAAAAAATAGCAAACGATTCCGCATTAACATAACCTACTTTTGCAGTGGAAATTTTTTCTCCATCTTTAAAATTAAACATAAAACTATCTTTTGTAGTTTTCCAACTTAAATTACCACACCAATCAAGTGGATTATATCCTCCAATCAGTTGTGTTGAACCTTTAATTTTTGCTACCCAAATAGTAGCTCCTTTATTATCACAATTTTTATGAAAATTTCTAGTACTAAATCCATCCTGACTTGAACGATATAATAATTTAAAATTATAAGGAATAATTTTATTATCATAATGTAAGGACTTTTCCTTATCAATCCATGAGGCGAAAAAAGAGATATGATTTGGTTTAACCAAGTTTGAATCAAGTTTAAATTTTAAACTTTGTTTTCTTGAACGTGATAAGTTGCTTTTAGGTTCAATGTTAGGTACTATATGATATTCCAAAAGATCATGAACTAAATCTCGTGGTAAGATGTCCTTATAACAATAAACCTTATAAAAAAAATCTGTAGGTCCAATATCATGAAATCTAATTAAAGGAGTAAATTTTTTCAATTCTCTCTTAACTTTTATAATATCCTCTTTATCCCAATTAGTTGGGTCATTCTCCAAATTTTGTTGAGAAACGCTCCATTTTACTAAACTCTCCCAAATAACAATTTCATCAACATTCAAATAATCTTTTTTTAACAATAATTCCAATAAAGGAGCTTTTAAATTGATAAATTTATCAGAATCAAATAAAATTTTAGGTTTTTCACAAATTTTTTTAAAACAAAAATTCCATAGATCTGTAAAATAATCATGTTGATAAATAGTTTCAAGAATACCGATCGGATCTTGGTGTAAAAATTCAGTTTGGTTTTCAATTAAATATTCTTGAATATGGGAAATCAATGATTGAATATTAAGTTCGTCCACTGCTATCAATAATTTCAATAAATCAGGACATTGTAAGTTCTTTAATTCAATATTTCCACAATAAATAAACCTAATAAAGTTAATTATTATAAATATTTTATCATCTTTTTTTAATTATAATTTTTTAAAATTCATGACAAATGTTTTTATACAGCATATACGGTACATTACCTAAGAATAACATCAAATAGTTGTGGGGAAATGTTTGGTTTTCTGATAATAAATTTTCCATCTCTCTTCTCAGCCCATTCGTTAGAAAATGCAGTGCGAAAGTATCGAGACCTGATACATAAAATACTTGAATGTGCATGAATTTCTTTAAAATTTGGTTCTTCACCAGAGTAAATAATAACGTCATATCCTATTTCTGTTTCAAAAAGATTTTCATAATCATTAGATAATTCAGTCAAAAATTTTGAAGACATATTTTACTTATATTGTATAAAAAGGCAAAGAAATAAAAAAAAATTTTTTTAAAGTTTGAAGCCGAAACCATATTTATATTGTTTCATGATGATCATGCATGAATGAAATTTTTTAAATAACTGCGGGCCTAGCACTTTAATATTAAGAAATAATAGAAACAATCAATTTTTACTTTTTGTAAAAAACGTAGAGACGTAAACTTAGGATATTTGACATTTTTAGAAAATTGTATAGAAATAATGGGCGTACTTAATTTGGCAAGCCGGTAAATCGCCGTAAAATGTCCGATGGGAATAAAAAGCTTAAATTTGATTAGATCGGCAATGGATAAATTGATTTACTTTTAACCGACCCTTTGTATTAGCATATGATATAGTGATACAAGTGGTCGAGGTATTGCGTAATTGTAATTTAAAATGCATGTATCTCAATATTAAATTCAAAAATTCCACAGAAATTTAAACCGAGTTAACATTAACGAAATGCTTTTAAAGAATATTACTTGATTTATCTATTAGACAAAGTTTATTTTACTGTACGTCAAATGTTTTTGATAATATATATAATAATGGCCACGTGCAAGGACTACACCTTGAAAATAATTATATAGCAAATAAGAAAATATATAGTATATACAGAGATAAATATTATACTTAAAGAGAACCATCCTTAAAAATTTTAATAAATTGTTTTTTAATTACCCAATGTCTCAGATCCATTTTTTCTTCATTGAGACATTGACTAAAGATAAATTAATTAGAGATCGTTGACTTGTACCTATTTCAATCCTGTTTTTTTAAATTTTAATAATTTGAAATTGTTAAAATTGTTAATGCCATAATTGGAAATGTAAATTTTTTGGATCTTTATTTTTATTATTCTTTTCTTCTAATCAATGAAAATATAATATTTATGGTCTAAATACTTCTCATTACTAGCAGTCAGTAAATAGTTTAGATTATTTATCAGTAGTCTTTGATCCATTCATATAATAACTACAGCAATAACACATAATTTCATCTGAAATTTGTTCATGAAATCTTTAACATCTTTGTTGATTGAAAAATATGAAATCATGATTTTGAATGATTTACATCAGTTTAGTTATGGAACAAATTAGAAAAAAATATGAAAATCACTTCAATACTTTCGCAAAATTGGAATAATCATTATTTATTAACTAAACCTTTTATTATTTTGTAATAATAACAAACATAAAAAATGAGACATTTTTTTAATTAAAAAATTTTTTTTTGAAAGTACATAAAGTGTTATATGCATCTCACATTAATAAGAGTAGCATGATTTTGGTAAATTTTTTCTACTAGAATTAATGATAATTTCCAATTACTTTTTTTGGTTTAAAACCTAATATGGAAAGGATCACATTTTTAATTTTATTGGCCAAAATTATTCATAATTCTACCAGAATTAATAATAATTTCTAATTACTTTTTTTGGTTTAAAACCTAATATGGAAAGGATCGCATTTTTAATTTTATTGGCCAAAATTATTCATAATTCTACCAGAATTAATGATAATTTCTAATTACTTTTTTTGGTTTAAAACTTAATATAGAAAAGATCAACATTTGTAATTTTATTGGCCATAATTATAACTCTTGATTAATTGTTTCTACCAGAATTAATGATAATTTCTAATTACTTTTTTCGGTTTAAAACCTAATATGGAAAGGATCAACATTTGTAATTTTATTGGCCAAAATTAACCATAATTCTTGATAATTTTTATCTACCAGAATTAATAATAATTTCTAATTACTTTTTTTAGTTTAAAATCTAATATGGAAAGGATCAACATTTGTAATTTTATTCGCCAAAATTAATTATAACTCTTGATAAATTGTTTCTACCAGAATTAATGATAATTTCTAATTACTTTTTTCGGTTTAAAACCCAATATGTAAAGCGGTAGTACAAGATTACATTTTTAATTTTATTGGCCAAAATTATTTATAATTCTTGGTAATTTTTTTTTACCAGAGTTAATGACAATTTTTAATTACTTTTTTAGTTTAAAACCTAATATAGAAAGTCGTAGTACAAGATTACATTTTTAATTTTATTGGCCAAAATTAATTCTATTTTTGATAAATTTTTTCTACCAGAATTAATGGTAATTTCTAATTACTTTTTTTGTTTATAAATTTAATATGAAATGTATTAGTATTACCAGAATTAATATCATAATCTCTAATTTAAATGTCTGGTTTGGCATGTAGTTAAAATTAATCATAATTTTCAGTGGAATTTTTTTACTAGGACGAAATTAGGACCCAGAAATATATATATGGGGTCAGGTGATGAAAAAATATTTTTACTATGAGCTGTACGCATTTTTTCAGGGCCGGAATTATGATAATGTCAGTCGGTTACTATAATAGGAAATAAAATTCTGACTGGCATTATCAAAAATTATCTAAAAAAAGAAAGATTTTCATGATTTTTTTAGTTCAAAATACGCAAACTCAAACCTGACCCTTTTATATATATTTCTGGGTCCTACGAAATTACTTATTGGTAAATAGGAAAGAGCAAGAATGGGGTTTTTTATTAAAGTTTATCTCATCATTTATTAATTAAGAATGAGATTCTTATTTAGCATCTTACATAAAATTTTCAATAAATTCCCTGTCAAAAATTCAACAAATTCCATATTAAAAATCATTTTGATGATCGCATCCTATTGGGTGGATATAGCTTATGATAATTTGTTTGTATGGTATATGAACTTAATATCAATAAAGCATAGATAGATCATTAAAAAAAAAAAAAAAAATCTTCTACTATCAAAAAAATATCTAATAAAAATTTTCTGTTAAACAATATTTTTAAATGTACTGAAATCCATAAAATTCTCTACTAAAATTCCCTATCAAAATAATCCATAATGAATTTTTCTGTTTAAAAAAACATGACATAAACTAAAAAAGATAAGAATCTATTTTAAAAAAAATTCTATAATTAAAAAATAAAAAATTATACCAAATGACTTAAAATTATGAGTATGTATATTAACGCACCAAAGTTGATAAATATTAGCACTTCCAGTAAGATAGCTTTTGACTCTTCTTGCATGTCTAACATCTACCAGACCTCATACATGTATAATACATACTCATTGCTTTTTTGCATATTGAATTTTCTCTGCAGCAGGGTCCAACATACCTCTTAGCAAATTCTTTGAGCTATTGAAAATATTGGTCAATGACATTTTATTAGCACTAAAGTAACATCTTTTTGCTGCAATACTAAAAATGGTTCCTTTAAGGTTTGAGCATCAGTTTTTCAGATCATTTGAAGGAAGCTTAGTAATTCTAAAACTTTATGTATAAATATAGTTTTAAATAATATTATCCTTTACAAGTTTATTTTTCTCCTATAACCATAGTGCATATATGTGAATGTTAACATTAATCATAGAACTTTTATTATAATAATTCTTTTTTGGAGACTGTTCTAGTGAACAGATTTTGATGATTTTGGTATCATTCAAATCTTCTCATCGAGACAGTAGTAAATTCATATCTATATGATTGATATTGATGGAGATGATTCAAAAATTATTTAAAAATTTTTGGTTTCAGAAAAATATGAGGTATTCTTCACACTGTTAACACATAAACTTTAAAATAATAGGCAAATTATTTTAATTCAAATAAGAGAGTTAAAGATTTTATTTTTAAAAATAGTATATTAAACCTCTCAAAATCTTAATTTATTCCTCCTATAAAATTGATTAGAAAGAAATAAAAATGGGTTGTTTAATTTATTGTAAAATTATAAAGATGTGGTTTCTAAAATGTCAATATAGACTTGATTATTTAGTAGTTATACAATTTTGATATATTATTATAATTATTTTAATTGTAAAATAATTGTAAAATAATATTTATTAATCATAAGTTTAAATGTTTATTTAAAATATTCAAAGTTTATTATTTATTTAATAATATAAAATTATAAGTAATTCAACTTAATTATAATAAAATCAAAAAAAAAGAAGAAAGAAATAAAGACATCTTTTTAAGTTTCTGAAACATACTCCTTTAGATTCCTAAAATAAAGGAATAATAAGTTATACATTATTTGTTCTTAGCTTACATGCATAAACTCTTAAAAAAATATCATTTGCTTCATAATTGTGACATTAAAATACTATATAATAGAAATTTAATAAATAAACTATCAATACTTTTTTTTTAAATTAATATAAAGTAAAAAATATAATAATAAATGAATACAAATTTAATTTTGAAATAATCTCTTGTGACCTGAATTAATATGTAAATATATTAATTTCGAATATAGAATTCCTATTTTATATAATAATTGAATATATTGGTGATTACAGATTGATGATTATATTTTACCCATCAAATAGTATATTAATAAAATTTAATATTGTGTTCTATAGTTGTCTGCATAATTTGGTACATATCATAATAGAAGCGTCCGCCGGCGATGATCGCCGCCAGCGATCAAAAATTAATTCCAGTAAAAAGGTTATTAAAGTTTAATTTAGGCTAAAAATATTAAATTTTATTAAAATTTTTCAAACAGGTCATTCAATTAGACGGTGTTCCGCAGCACATTCTAATAATATTCATTTAAAACATCACCCCTATAAGAAATATGTATACGGAAAGGATACGTTTTGTATACATTTTATGTACGTTTCTATAGATTCCCTATACAAATTCCGTATATTTAATAAGCAATTCATTTTTGAACATTTTTTGAAAAAACTAATGTATACGGAAAAAATTAATCATGCGGAATGTATACGGAATTTTTAAACTTAATATTTTTAGAAGATAATTTTACAAAAATCCTGTATCATAACACGCGATCACGTGATTGTTTATTGTTTTGTTATGATACGTTTTTTGTTTTTTATATAAATCCTTCCTTTGATGAGTTTGATCTTCCGATCTTCCTTTCTGTCTTTCTCTTTTCTCTTGTCTTATTTTTGTTATTTTTTTCTAAAATTTTCTTCTTTCTTCGTCACCCCCCTTTAAAAAAAAAATTTTTTTTTTTCATACCTTACTTTAAAAAAGTTTTTTTTTCGTCACTCTCCTTTAAAAAAAAAATATTTTTTTCGTCACTTCCTTAAAAAAAATTTTTTTTTGGTTTTATTCTTTTATTCCCACTCTTTTTTTTTTTTAAAAAAAATTTCTTCTTTCTATTTCTATTTCCTCTTTATAAAAAATTTTTTATTTGACATCCTCCCTTTAAAAAAAAAATTTTTTTAACTTTCCTAACTTCGTTATCCCTCTTTTTAAAAAAATATTTTTTTTGATTTATTCTTTATTCCCCTTTCTTTTTCATTTATATTTATCCCTTTTTTATTTCATAGGCCAGCAGATTTTTTTTTGTGAGAAGATTCAGTTTTCTTTCTTTTTTTTTTTGTAGATCAGTTTGGAGTCCTTTCCTTTTTGTAGGATGGTTCAGAATTTTTTCTTTTTTTAGGTCAGTTCAAATTTTCTTTTTTTTTTGTAAGTTGGGTTCAGATTCTTTTCTTTTTGTAGGTTGTTTCAGTTTTGTTGCTTCAGAGTCTTCTCAGTTTTGGATTTATTTTGTTGTTTTGGTTTCTTTTTCATTAGACGCTTCATAATTCTTTTCTTTTATGTAGGTCAGACATTCTGGAGTTCTCTTTCTATGCTAACCTTTGGTGACTTGAACCATTACAGATACTATAGTAGGGGTGTTTTGTTTCCAATTAAGTTAAACAACCTAAAAAAACAAAAAAAAAGAAACATAAGAACGTCTGACTCCAAATGAACCTGAACTTATAGATAATTTTGGTTGCAATAGGTAAAATTAGATTTATGAAAATACAATTATAGTAAACTGTAATACAAATAGTAAATTCAGTGACCAAATCGTATAAATTTCGTGATAAAATCAGTGATCAAATCATGTAAATTTCTTATGAATCCCGTGCAAATTCCGTATCCAAACCATATTTTTAGTGATACGGAATTGTGCAGTTTTCCGTATCCTATTATGATACGTTATTTCTAAGGAAAAAAATCGTATAAAAACTTTATAAAAAACGTATCCAATTTTTTTATAGGGCACAGATTTGATTAAAATTTTCAAAAAAAATAGTATAGAATTTTTAGAGATAATGTTTTTCGAAAAATAATTACAGTTAAATTATATGAAATGGTAGGTGAGGTCATTATTACTTTTTATCACAAATTCATAACAATAATGTAATAAAAATACTAAAAGACAGACGTTGCGTCAAAGACCCAATTTATGTGCTTTTTTTGAGTCGTATTAAACATAAAATTAGTAACAACCAAATTTTATTCTAAAATAATTATTTTGACTATAATTTATCTTATATATAACAATTTATTAATATGGTACAACTAATGAAATCATTTTGTAGTAATGAATGTGTAATTTAATATTATCATTTTATTACTTTATTTCAAATTACAAAATTTCGAACTCTCAATATTTTGTAAGTAATAACCATATGTTAAGAGAGGACCATGAAAAAGTTGTTGAAGCGTAGAATTGGTCACGTAAATCTTTCCTTTTAGGCCGGGCAAAAAAAATTTTTAGATTCTCGTGACATATAATTTTAAAAATGACGGCCGGCCGGCATTTTTTTTTATATACAGTATGTAAAATTTTTTCGTATGTAAAATTTTTTTACGCACATTGGCCAAAAACTTGAAATCGCGTGATAAAAATTTTTTACTATAAAAAAAAAAAAAAATTCCATTTTTCGAAAAACTGACGGCCGGGTCACGAGAATCTAAATTTTTTTTTTTGCCCGGCCTTATGGATAGTCAGGAAATTTTGGATACTGGGCGGATTTGACTGGCTTGACTCACTTGATGATCCTCATTTTGGCTAACCTTACTGGCATTATTGTTATTCCGGCCCCGAAAGAGAGCTTTTACTAATAGTAATTTTTTTTTTTAGATGCACCTTACATATATGAGACTTTTCTAGGATGCTGTTAAGAGTCATATTTTATAAGTCATAATAGAAAAAAAAAGGGAGATAATTAAATTAATATTACAAGTATTGAATAAAATAATCATCTTTATTAACATTACTTTTTAAGCCTCAATTCGAATAATGTATAAATTTTTAGATTACATAATATTATCTAATATATGTTCATTTAATTTCATAATGATTATAACCACTAACCAGTACAAATTTTGGGAGCAGTCATCCCGCCCCGCTTCTAAAAATAGATTTTACTAATTAAACACGTCCCAACACGTCCCAACACGTGACAGCGGGAAACAACACAGTGATGAATAAGGGTGTGACAAATAGGATTTTGACTAACGAAAAAAAACGTCCTCCAGATACTTATAGATTACGGAAACGCGAAGGGGTGTGATGGTGGTGACAAATAAAATCTATTTTTAGAAGCGGGGCGGGATGTTTGATCAAATTTTGGCCACAATTTTAAAGTTATTCCTCGTACACGATGGTAAGTCGTACAAAAAAAATTTTTTGTTACACGATACATGATGTTTCAATGCATGGCGTAATTGTGCAATTAGATTTTCGGGAGAATGATTTTCATGGAACATGTGATACATTGGATGCAATTTCATTGGCTAATTATTATTACCTGATAAATACTTGACCAATCATAAATTGCTATGATATTTATAAATACTGTACATCTTATTATTTTCATTTCATTTCATTTTATTTTATTTTTAAAATGATTTATCAACTTTCAACACTCTCAGCTGACTGTTTACATGAAATTTTTGACCATATAGTAGAAGATAAACCCACTTTATACTCATGTTTATTAGTTAATCGTCTTTGGTGCAAAATTTCTGTTCGAATTTTATGGAGGAATATATGGAATTATAAAGTTATTCAACAACAAACTTCATTGAGGACAGTATCATCAATTCTTAGTACGTTAATTGCTTGTCTTCCCAACGAATCAAAAGAAATTTTACGTAAAAATAAAATTTTCATTTCAACACCTACTTTAAAATCACCACTATTTAATTATGTAGCATTTTGTAGAGTCCTTTCAATTTGTGGGATAGGTAAAATAGTTGATAAAGTTCTTAGAAATGGAACTCCTGATAAACCACGTAATTTAAAAAATAATTATTATATAATCTCAAATGAAATTATTAAAATGTTTATGAATCAAAATACTTTAAAACAATTGATTTATGATCAAAAGATACATCAAAATAAATTTTCTTTCACTTGTTTTCTTGGAGTAAAGGACCTTTCAGAATTACGATGTAGTTCATATCTTACAACAGATTTTTTTCATCGACTGTCTCAAACGTGTCATAATTTACAATTAATTACTATAGAATTTCATAATAATGAAGTCTCGAATGAATTAAAAGAATTCATTTCTTCACAAAAGAAATTAAAAAGTTTAGTTTTAATAACATATTATAATAATAGTTGGGCGACTATCATACCTACATTGAAAAAACATTCTAATACATTAAAAAAATTACACCTTTATAGTTATAGTAGAAATGTTAATGTACCATTATCATTTATCAGCTCATTCACTAATTTACAAGAATTTGTACTTGGATTCTATCGTGGAACGTATACTGAAGATTTTAAAAAATTACAATATGCGAAATTTCCTAAATTACAAACTTTAAAAATTCCTTATCAATGTCCTAATCCTGAGTATGTGATGAAATTTTTAGAAACCAATGGAAATAATCTTAAAAATCTTTATACGGTTGAAAAAAATAATGCATTAAGTTTATCTATTGCTAAATTTTGTCCAAACCTTAGAAGACTTTTTGTAAGATTTAATAATGGTGAAATTGATATATTAAAAAAAATATTTATTAATTGTCGGTATTTAGAAAGTATTAAAATTTGGTGTGGAGAAGAATATTTAAATGAAAAGGAAGTATTTGATACTGTCGTAAATTATTCACCAAGTAATTTTTGTGAATTAAAAATATATAATAATTCAAAGTCAGACTTTGTATCTCCAAAAGATTTAGAATCGTTTTTTATAAAATGGAAGAATAGAAAATCAAAAAAATCACTTAAATTAATATTTCTTAAGGATTCAAAGATTAATGGTCGTCGGCATTATGGTTTGGATGAATTTAAGGAAAATATGAAAATAATTGAAAATTATAAAAATTTAGGCGTTATTAAATTTATGACTAAAGATTATATAAAAGAAGAGGAGGAGGAGGAAGTAATAGAGAACTATTATTTTTCTATGCTTGGGATTATGTAATATAGACACTATTTTTATCAAAATGAAGCGTTCCGTCTATTAAAATAAATAAATGAATGTCACCAAAATTATTAATATTTTTTTTTTTTTTTTTTTGTTAATAACACGCTTTTCTTTATTGATCACGTTATAATTATTAATATTAAGCGTCCAAGAACATTAAGAACATTATATGAATATAATAAATATAACGCAGATGTAAAAATAATATATGATTTTTTAGGAACGCGTCTATTATGACCGATCGACAGACGACAGTAGCCAAAAAAAGAATCCGATTAGTCAATTTCAATCACCCAATCGAATGATCGACAATTCGATATATCAGCGGCTCAGCCCATAAGTTATGCAGTAATCTGCATGACAAATAACTAGCATGATTTTTTGTTTGTTTATTGATGAAAAGCTTTGGCGTAAAAAAGTCCTTCTTTATAAAATTTCTTATGTACGGTACATATATATAAATAAAACTAGTAAGGACTAAAGGGTTTAACTGTTAATTAAATAAGAACATCTAAATTGAGTCAAAATTAATATTGCGTTATAACATTAACATAGTCAAATTTATTCGATCTGTATCTAACGTATCCTATTCCAGTTTATAAAAAATAAATTTAATTTATATTCATAAATTCCGAATTTGAACTAATGAAAATTTTTTCCATTTTGCATGATTTCTTCAATAATTAAAATAATGTTACAAATAAAAAATAATTATTTTGATCATGTAAAATACCGACTTTAGTGTAATACACAGGATCATAATGAAGTCATAAAAACAATAACAGCAGATAATGAATTTTTCACGGCTAAACCATTAAAAGAAATTATTGGTAAGTCTAATAGGATCATGCAGATTTTGACGGACTGATATTTTTTGTTGATGGATAAATAATTGATATTTTTCTTTTATTGGCTAAATATCAAATATATTTGCAGTTTAATTATACTTTTTATATACTCTTACTATAATAATAGCATGATCTTGCGTGACTCTACTCATCACTTTGACCCGACCATACTCCTTTCCGTAGCACTCACTTACGCCTAATAATAAACTAATTTATTATTTTTATGTATCTGTTATTGTTATTTGAATTGTCTAAATTCTTGCTTTTCAATATTCCAATTAAGTTACACAAAAAGATTGTCTTAAATTTTCTTAATATATAAATAAAAAAAGGACTCTTTAAATGGTTTCGTTTATTCTTTTGTTAATTTTAATTATAAATTAAGAAAATACTGTAATTTATATATTTTATATCCAGGATTTTATGTCCAGAAAATTGGACAAATTCTTGGATATAAAATAACGCGTGGCAGATTTGATTTTTTTTTTCCCAAACAATTTTTTCTAGAATATTAGAATAATTTCCAGATACTTTTAATAACATTTTCAGAAATTAATAGTGGCATGGAATAAGGGTACATGAAATTTATGATAACTAATAATCTTGAGAAATCTTAAATCTTTACTTGATATATGCGAAGTACTTCAAAATGATAGACCCGAAAAATATAAAAACTCGGATGAAATATAAAAATTTCATGATAAAGGAGAATTTTTATCCATTAAAAAGGCTATAGAAATTTATAGTACTAAGCATGAAGCTTATTATTTTACGAATTAATATACTAAATCTGTTGAAGCAAATGAAGCGTTTCCGGACAACGGATAATAAATATTTTGCAATCGATTTCGTAAGTTAGTATATATAATATATCTTGTAGTGTATTTATTATTTTATTATTAAAAACATATTTTCTTATCAAATTAAGTGCTGAAACCTAAGAAAAAACCTATCATGCAATCTAGTTGGTCTTTTAACGGAAAGAGACATAATGTAAGTAATGGAATCAATATGTCGAAATTTTTTCCATAGCCAATCACTAGAATCGACGAGTAGACTAATGCAGGGTTATAATTCGTGATTCTTTACAGGAATCATTCCTTCCAGTGAATACACTAAATGAAAAACAGAGAACTCACTCTTGGCACGATATTTCTTTGGCTGAAATTTCGGTCACGTGATCAACTACGAGAAGAATATGAGTGGACGACATGGGAGTAATGTGATCAACTGCGTTGACATAAATGATCAACTGCGGAGAAGAAATTAGTGGGTGATGGGGAGATAACGTGAACAAAAAATCACGTGAATCTTATATGGCTTGACGCAGCAATTTACGCATATGTGGATAAAATAAAAAGCCCGTACGATACTTAATATTTTCCCAGAGTATTTTTTTTTAACATTGAGACCAAATTCAGGTGCTCCTTTATGTTCCATATTCGGATAATACTAATGCTTATCCTTCTCTTAGGATGATGCGATTTTTTCTTTAAACTGATTTTTTTTTATTTTTTACTCTTTTGCCTTTTGGATTTGGATCAGGCCAGTTTGAGATGTAATCAAAATAAATATTCATTTTTTTATTTGGATAAATATATTTTATATAATTTTTTAGTTATAATGAGTACGATTTTTAATAAAAATATCCAACCAAAAAAAAAAAAAAAATCGAATTACTAATTTATTATATAATTAGTATAATTATTGAACTTAGAATTATTAGTATATACTTTCTGTTTGTAATTTTTTATATTATATAATTGATTAGTATCAATATATGGTTTCATTGATAAGTCATCATATTTAACTGAAAAAGAATATATTTTTTTTTTTATACAATATGTAATTCTAATAATTTTTATTTTTCACTCACCATTACACTAAATTGATATTATGTAATAAAACAGTTTTAATACGACTAATATTACACTAGTAGTTTTATCATTGATCCAACCATGTTGATAATTGTTCAGGTTCGGAGTCAATGATTGAGCACTAGTAAGAATATAAGAATGAAATAAAAATGTTCACATATACTTTTTATGCAATGACTTTAATGTTTTTATAAAATTGTAAGTACAAAGTTTTGAAATTTATCCCTTTCAATATATTGATATCAACCGTTACGAAAAATTTAGGCGCGAAAATTAATGGCTTAGATCATAATTTACATTTATTTATTTATAAATGACAAAATTTTACTTTTCATGTAAGCAATGAATATTAACAAATAAGTAGTGAAACATTTGAATCTAACTTATATATCTTGAATTTTTATTCTGAAGTTGAACACTAAAATAAAATAAATTTAAAAAAAAAAATTCTCGCAAATCGTCAATCAAAAAGGATATACAATAAATATGTAATCTAGATACTGATTTATTTGATACTCATTTTATCGTTCTTTCGTGATAAAATATTTTTTACCTTTACTTATTTCTTTGTGTAATTATTTGCAAAAACCATATTCTAAACAACTTATTTGCATAGTATTGAGTTTCATATCTAAAGCTACCAAAATAGTACTCATTTATTCGTTCAATACGTTTGATTATACAATTACTTTAAATATTAATAAAAAAATGGACAATTTATTTATCAAAATGTTCAGTATATAATTAATCTCTATGAAATATATAATAAAATACCATATCCGGATTCTAATTTCTTTACATTATAATAAGAAAGTTTAATAAAAAATCATTAAATATTTCTAAATACTCTGCATTTGCAGAATAACGAAATATTATTACTTCTATAGTTCTATGGATAATTGTAACTAGTAGTTTTATCCCGCTTTAATACGCTTTCCTATAAATAATATTTTTATATTTGATTTAAATAAAAAAAAAATTAAATATTAATGTAAATGAAAATAAAATAAAATAACATTTAGCCAGATAGTAAATAATTACCACTATCATCATGAGTTTCAACATTTAATAATTCTTCATTTCTTCTCTTTTTTAAAGAGGTTGAAAAATTTTGAATTGTAGAACTTAAATTTTGTGATCTGAAACTAAATAAAAAAATTATATGGTAAATTTTAAATAATTTGTTGTGTCATTTAAAAACGTTTTTTTATAATTATATTAAATACCTTTCAGTTTTTATATCAAGCTCTAATTCTGTTGAGATATATCTAAAATCTAAAGCGGTTGAATAATTTTGAAGTGTAGAACTTAAATTTTGAGATAATATACTGATTAAAAATCAATAAATTTAAATAATTAGTTGTGTCATTTAAAAATATTTTTTTATAATTATATTAAATACCTTTCAGTATTTATATCAAGATCTAATTCTGCTGAGACATATCTAGAATCTAAAGCGGTTGAATAATTTTGAATCGTAGAATTCAAATCATATAATGATAAACTAATTAAAAATTAATTAAATTTAAATAATTAGTTGTGTCATTTAAAAACATTTTTTATAATTATATTAAATACCTTTCAGTTTTTATATCAAACTCTAATTCTGTTGAGTTATATCTAGAATCTAAAGCGGTTGAATAATTTTGAATCGTAAAATTTAAATCATATAATGATAAACTAATTGAAAATTAATAAATTCAAATAATTAGTTATCATTTAAAGACATTTTTTTTATTACTATTTTAAATACCTTTCAGTGTTTATATCAGGCTCTAATTCTGCTGAGCTATATCTAGAATCTAAAGCGGTTGGAAATTTTTGAATTGCAGAATTTAAATTTTGTGACGATAAACTAAATAAATTAATAAATTCAAATAAGTAATTAGTTACACCATTTAAAAATATATATATATATATTTTTTTGTTATTTTAAATACCTTTCAATGTCTGTATTATTCTCTAGTTCTGAGGTATAATTGGAATCTAAAGTGTATAATAACATATTTCTTAATAAATTACATAATATTTTTAAATTACAATTAATTTTTTTTTTGTAATACCTCGCTTATCAAATGAAATTTTTGAAAATGAATATATGGATGAGCATTTAGAAATTAAAGCACTTAATGGCCTGCTTGTATAAATAGCTCCTAAATGACGTTTTTCAGCAAATTCCGGCCCAATCTTCTTTGATTCTATTAATTTCGCTCTTTTTGCTTCACCTTGTCTAAATTCTTCATCATTAACCTTTTTAAATGTCCACCTACCAAAAGTCAAACGAATGTCTTTTATAGAAGGTCTTTTTTTAGGATCAGCATCCCAACAACTTTTCATTAAATTAGCATAACATTCTGGTGTATCTTCTGTAATTTTAGGTCGTTCTCCTTCAAGAATTTTATAAATTAGATGATGATCATGTTTAACATTATCAAATGGTTTACAACCTGTTGTAAGTTCCCACATAATCATACCCAAACTATAAATATCAGCTTCTTTAGAAAATATAGACCCTCTAAATATTTCCGGTGCAATGTAAGGTATTACTCCATATACTTCATTATTTGATGATTCACTATTTACAGCTTGTGATAATCCTAGATCTCCAATTTTCCAATCATCATTTGACGTTCTTTTACCTTTTGGATCAAATAATATGTTTCCACTATGGAAGTCTCGATGCATAAATTTTTTATTATGAATAGTTTCAAGTCTAAAAATATAAAAAAAATTTAATAAATTTAAAGAAAATTAATAAATACTGTATATAAAATATAAATACCCTACTGAAATTTGATGTAAAATACGTAATTTTTCTCTATTCCATGTAATTCTTGCAAAATCCTTCTGCAAATGCTTATATAAATCCCCTCCTGATGCATATTCCATAACTATTATATAATCCTCTAATTCAGGGTCTTTTGTAAAGCCATAAGTTTCAATGATATGACCCTTTTTGTCTTTAAAACAATGATAATATGATTTTAACTATTTAAATTTAAAGATTAAATTAAATTAAAATTTTAGTTTAATTAAGATAAATTTATAAGATATATTTAAAATATTTTACCTCATTTAAGAAATATTTGCCAATATTTTTAGAATTTTCAAATCTTTTTAAAATGACAGTTTCATCTTTAATTAATCGATTCTTAGTGTCATATTTAAGCCAAGTTGCTTTATATATAATACCATATCCCCCCCTTGTCATTTCTGTTACATCTTTAAATTGAGAATATGGTATCCACTTATCATTTTGTTTTGCTTGTTTTTTTTCTTTAAATATAGACCGTAATATATTATCTGGTACAAAATATTTATTAATGTTTTTTACAATATTTTCAAATTCAGCTAACTTCAAATAATCTAAATTATCGCATGTTATAAGATTATTATTAAAAATAAAATCATTAAAATTATTGTTTATGGGCGATATTCTTTTGCATTTTTTACATTGAGATTGGTCCGTAGGTCCAAAAAGAATGTTTGTTGTTAAACAATATCTGCATCCAACATAAAATATAAAACAATATGCACAATACTTTTGACAGTCTGATGTAAATGTTAACTCTAAACTACAAATATTGCACCCAGAATCATTATGCCACCATGGTAAGTAAAGAACTGAAATTTGCTTTTTAACCAAGGCTGATTCTATCAATTCAGAAGAAATTATATAACAATCTGAACATAAAACAAGACCATCATACTCTTTACTACCATATGTGTATGATAATGACTTTCCACATAATTTACAATTTTCTTCACTTTCAATCACCTTATTGAATAGAGTGGAATTATTTCTATCAATTTCCCGATAAACAGAGCCATATCCACATAATTGTTTAAAACATAAAATTATCAGACAATTTCCATAGCATTCTTGAATACTTTGTGATATTTTTGTCCTATTTATTTCATGTTCACTACATTCCAATTCCGTTGTGTAAATATATACGTCCAAATATATATTATTGTCAGTTATATCATTAATATCATTAATATAACGTGATAAACATTTTTTGCAATATTTTTGCCAAGTAAGAAGCGCTTCAATATATTTTTCTCCACAATAAATACAATTTTCATCTTTCCAACTAAAGGAAATAAATTCAATTGGTATAGGACTAGGTTTTAATCTTGGTGTTGGATCAAAAGAATTTTCATCATTTGCATTTACAATTTCCATTTTATTAAGTTAATTAATATATGTTATAATCAAGTATCGATAAGACAACGAATTTGGAAAATATGAATATACGTATTTTATTTATATCTAAATTATCAGAAGTTTGAGCCTTTTGTTGGTAATATGGAAAGTATTTCTAGATTTTCTCATGGAATCTTAAGAATTTACCATAGTACTACGGAAAAATCCGTTTAAAAAATTTAGCATTTTATCGGAGTAAATGCATAGCGAAATGCATTTAATACATTTAACTTTATCATTTTTACTTATTTAGTTGTGATTCATATGATCAGCTAGTGGAAATAACTAAGTATTTGGCGTAATAAAATAAACTTTTCAGCATAGAAGATAATGATGGAAAGTACAAATTAACGAGAAAGGAAACGGAAAAAAGTGAAGTAATAATTTGAAATTATTTCCTTCTTTTGTATATAAAATAAGATCAAAAAATAACTGTGTACGACAAATTGAGAGGTATAATCACTTTTATAGGATAATTATTACAATGAAACACCGAATATAGTAAATTCTTAAAAAAAAAAGTAGATCGATACCTAAACAAAAAGAGTTCATTGAATAATAACAAGATATTGTACTTCATTGTAGTTTCAAACATTTTTCTTCTATTTGTTCCTACGTGCAGTTAATTGTAAAACTAATAATTATATTCGCATATTATTAATATTCCAAAATTATGTAAATTATGCAAGAACGATTCTCTCTAGAACAAAGTAATTTAGTTCCTATTAAAACCATAGCCGATAAGATTTTCAAAATATTATGCAAAATATTTGTATATTCTAATGTTCTATGACTTTATTGGTTAAAATTCACACGAAATTTTCAAAATTAAAATTTTTTTCATAAAATGGTGATAGATGGCGCAGTAAAAGAATAGTGGCGCAGTAAGAATAAAACATGTCTAGCGTGTAGTAATTTAACACTTGAAAATTATTTTGCATAAATGTGTATAATGTATAATGATGATTATGATTCAAAAATTATTTTTATTTTCATTAAATTTGTTTCAAGTCTATTATAAATGTCAATTCATATTTTTGACTCATTCTCTCATTTTTTTTAAAGAAAAAATTACAATAATAATAGTGTTCTTTTAATCTAGATATAATATAAATAATATTATTATTATCTGAACGTGAAAATAAAATTACGTGAATAAAAGTCAAGAATATTATTTATTTCTTTAATTTTTTCAATTTTTTTTTTTTTTTAAAAAAAAAAAAAAATAGTAACGCATTTTATTTTATTAATTAATATTTTAAATCAAAAAGATTACATAATTAAAATTAAAATACTTAGAGTATAAGAAAATAAAATTACTTTCCTATCCCCTATAACTAAGTTTATCCTATTCTAAAATTTAAATTTTCTAAATATTCTAACTAAAAACTATGCTAATTATTCGCTAATTTAGGTATTAAGTACTATTTGTTACCTATATTAATTCCTTCTGTGATCTCCCCTTTTAATTTGTCTAAAGTTACGCTACTAATAATATTTTTGTTAATATTTTTTTCTATTTTTTTTTTAAATTTTTCTTCTGTTTTTTGTTTTTTATTTTTTCCGTTATTTTCTATTCCAACTTTACCCCCTGATGTATTTTCTCCTTCTAAATTATCTTTGTTTTTCCTTTTCTTTAGCGTCATTTTTGCTAAATCTTCTTTCTTTTCTATTTCAGCTATCTCATCGCATCTTTTAATCCAAATTCTTCTTTTTATTTCTTCGTATATAAAATTCCATAATTTCTTTACGATTTCTTTGCTTTCCTTATTTTTCGACAATTTGTTAAAATTAGTATTGTAAACGCCTCTCATATTTTCCCACTCTCTATTTATTTTTTACAAACGCAATTGTATAGTCTTCTTCAATATCATCATATGTTCATAGCCAACAGAACCACGTATCATCTCTTTATTTACTCCTGCTGATAATTGTTCTTTCGTCCGTTAATTTGATGTGTCGATGCATCACGAGAGTTTTTGCGTCTCTCACATATGCCAAATGACTAAAGAAGTTAATAATAATAAGTAATATTTAATGTGAATAAAAAAAAAATAATAAATTAAATTGGATTAACTTACCTTGCAAGTTGTAATTTGTAAAGCATCAATGAATGCGGCTCCAACATTAGCATCATCTTTAACACCAAAAGCCAAATACATCCAAATCCATTCCGGATATATTTTTTGGAATTTTCATGATGAGGATATGATTCAAGTCCTGGATATGAAACCCATAGGATATCATCCCTAGATTCTAACTATCTTGCTAATTCCAAAACATTTTCGGCTTATCTATGAACTCTTAGTAATAAATTTTAAGGCCTTGTATTAATAAAATGATCCAAAAGGATTTTGACATTGGTCCAATGTTACGCATAATTTTTGAACGTCCTTTCATAGTAAAGGCATTATACTCAAAATGTATCCCAATAAATTAACCCATGGTATCAGGACTTAGATTAGTAAAAATTGGTAATCTTCCATTATTTACCTTCATCAATTACTAAACCTCCTATTGTTATTCCATGACCTCCAAATCCATTTCGCTGCACCTAACGAATGAACATAAAGATTAACAAATAGATATTGCAAAATGACGCTTAGTCAAGAGTTGATCATAACCTACTGTGAACAACAATATCTTCACCATGTTAAATTGATTTAATAAAATATTCACCTATATGTAAAATCAATTAATTAATGAATAAAAGTAAAAATCTCATCTTATACTTGCCAGTACCAAAGGTATTATCAACGATAACATGTATTTTCAGCGATAACTGGTATTCACGCATCATGTGCAATCTTACAAATTGCTTCAAAATCTGGAATATTAAATTTCGTATTTCTCATAGATTCAAGATATATAGCTTTCGGTTTATTATTGATTAATTTAGCGAATTCTTCTGTTCTTCTGAATCATCGCCTTGAATAAATTTGACATTGATCCCCAATTTGGAAGTGTAGCCTATTCGTTTAAAAAAAAAAAATAATTCACACATGATATTAACTTTAAAAAATCTTTAATTTACGAAAATTAAGTTCCACCATATAAACAACTTGTTGAAATGATATTATCACCCACTGAGCGAATCGTTGATATAGCAACAAATTGTACAGTCCATCCAGATGATGTAGAAATAACGTTAATTTCACCTTCAAGTGCAACCATCCTCTGTTCAAATAAAGTTAGCAATAAGTTTAAACATTTATTTACATGTTGCGATCATTTATTTTTAAAAAGAAAAAATTAATTAACGTTAATTATTTTTAATAAAAAAAAAATCATAAATCAAATCAGGTGTATAAAATTTTTAGTACCTCGTATAAACGTGAGCTACTTCTTTACCACCAAAAACATTTGCGGCATATTCAGCACTTTTAAATGTAAACGAAGCTTTATAAAAATTTATTTCGTGTTTTTTTATTCCATGTTATTTTCGTAAATGTATCATATTCGCGGAATTTTTATAGAAATTATTGGATATTATTTTATAGAGAAGTAGCTACATAAATTGAACAGCTCTTGCACGTGTAGCAATAATATCGAGTGTGTGACCTGCGTGTAATTGAAGAGATTCAAAACGGAAATTCCTCTTTCTGTTTTTTCCCTTTTCCGTCATATTTTAAATTATTTGGTTAAAAATTCAATGAATTTGAAAGGAAAAAAAAAAATGAATCAAATAAATGATGATCAAAAAATTCGAAGGTATTTATAGAAAATCATAAATGCACTTTTACTAATTTAGTCATTGATCGTCATGCGTAGTAGCAGTTCAATCCCGCACCCCATTCGACCGATCAACAATCCCGTGGTATGGCATTGAGACGTTAACAAGATGTTAATTTATTTAATAATAAAATATCTACGTTATACAATAATACTCTAATTATAATATTCTATTCTAAATTAAACTTAACAATCAAACTTCAATAGTTTCCCCTCACTTAAGTTCTATCAATCCTTAAATTAATTAAGGAGGCACTTTTTCATTATAAGAAAGGTTATTTCTTATCTTTCAAAAGCTCGAATAAATATTTATTATATAGATATATGCATTGCTGATCATTCCTTCTTTCTATAATTCCATTGTAAAATATTCTCTAAGCGTTTTGGTCAGATAATTAATTTATAGATCTTCTAATCAGGTGATTTACTTATTGATCTTTCCTAAGCCTCAAATAATTACTAACGTATCAATCGATCAGGTTTGATAGTTTAACGTCATTCCGGACCGCAGTTAATAAAATAACAAATAAAATTTATACACTTAACCTAAATATAAAACTGCGTCCCATAATTATTAAATTCACTAGATGGTTTCGGCATTACACCGTGAATAAAATAACGGAACAATCCGTTATAAAAATTCTTAGAACATTACATCGATGTTTAATTTCGAATGATGACTATAAATTTGAAATTTAAAATAAACACCTACCAGTCATAAAAAAAAGATTAGTTTTTTTTATTTATCTTATATATGATATTTGATTTGTTCACCAAAAAGGACGTCACGTAACGGAGACTTATATCGATGAATCATATCTTGAAAATGAAAAATTTGGATTAAGTTATTTAATCTACCATAATTCCCAATCAGACGAAAAACTCTCGGATACTTTTAGTATTAACGTCTAAATTTTTTTTGGCTCAAAATTCAAACCACTTCCCTATTTTTATCATTTTTTCTTTTTGTAAGAAAAACCATATAGCTCACTTGATGATCGGAATGTCAATCATTTTGGCCAAAATTAATGTTAATTTTAGCCAAAATGATCGACTTAGATGAGTCAAATAGGTTATAACTTTGAAAAAAAAAATACGATCAAGAAACAATATTAATAATTATTTAAGTGTAAAAAAATAGTTAGAGTTATAGAAAAATATCAAATGGTTCTAAAGGTGGTTTCTAATATGAACTGTACATTTGCGAGCATTGGAATTTAGTGTCTGAATTAAAATTGTGTATAAAAAACATTATTTATATAATTGAAACATAATCGTAGTAACGCTCAAAAATTTTTCGTAATTCGGAAGCGTAAATTAAGAGTTTATTGTTTAGTCCAAGTTAGAATTTCCATGTAGTATTATTAATTGTTATTTAAGCCTGCGAAAATTTATTAAAATCAATAAATCAAGTCCAATATAATTTGGTCTTAACCATCATATTGTTTTATCGTTTTGCCTTAAAAAAACTTGAAACTAAGTGTTGTCTGATTTAAATAATTTCATAAGCTTTCATCAGTTCCATTCTTTGCATATTATGAAGAAGTTTATTGTGGCCATTAATTTTTTCCCTATAAAAAAAGAAAATTCGGAATTTGTCCTGAAAAGTATGGAAAATGTCCGGAAATTTTCCGTGCGTCCGGAAAACATTCGGAAATGGTCATGTTTTGTAACATTTTCCGGACTCTCGATTCTGGACAAATTCTGGACAAATTCTGGAGTGTCAAGAAAATGTCTGGAATTTGTGCGTCCGGAAAGTGTTCCAAAACATGACCGTTTCCGAATGTTTTCCGGACGCACGGAAAATTTTCGGACATTTTCCATACTTTTCAGGACAAATTCCGAATTTCTTTTTTTATAGGGTTTATGATTTCACGCTTTATTTTTCATTATTATTTCGCACAATTTCAGAATGAATAAGTTTTGATAAGTCAAGATTCAAAGAAGGGTATTTTTGAGATTATGCACAAATTGTGCAAGTTGGTTTAAATGCATCTCAAAAATTCCGTTATAACGTTTAGTGGTTTTTTGGAAATTAAACGTGCTTAGATTTATACTTAATCAATATGAATTACAAGTGTTTAGAATGACGATTTTTAACTACTTAAACGCATCTTCAGAAAAAAATAGAAAAAAATATAATGAAAACGTGTTGGTCAAAGTAAATTGCGTGGCTTTTAAAAATTAATAGAGAATGATCCAATCATATTGCTGCTCCGTGGTGAAATTTGAAGGGTCTGTACGAATGATTTTCAGTGAAATGGCAAGTCGGATAATTTCATGTCGATAAACGATAAACGGATAAAATGACATTTCGGTAAAATGAAGCTAGATAATTTTTCATATCAGTAAAATAGAAGTCAGCAAAATGGATTTGGTTAATTACATTCGGTGAAATAGCTGGCTGTATATCATATCATAACCATTTTCTTTATAAAAACATAATACTTTGCGAGTCACTAGTGCAAAAAAATCAGCTTGAGCTGGCACCACAAGAGATACAAGAGATGACTCAATTGTTTTATATAAAATTTTTCATGTAAACCTGTGTAGAAAAATATTATACATTTTATTTAATTTTTAAATAAGTTATCCTATATAATTTTAATTTAAAATACTGATGATTATTTAACGCAAATCCGCAACTCTGCAATGAAAAATCTTAACTTTATTTTCTTAATTTTAAATTCATATAACAAATTTCTTGATATGTTTGCATAATTAAAATTAATTATTTCATAATTCGATTTAAAAGACGGTCGAATATTTTTACAAAATAATTTTTCGATAAATACACAATTTTTGAATAAAATTATTCGTAATTTTCCAATTTGTTATTGTGAATACCAACAAAAATTTTCTAAGAATTACGTGTTAAACCAGTTCACAATTAATAAAATATATTATATTGGCTTTAGCTATGCTCTGCCTGTTCTGTTCCAGAGACTACTGCTCATGCAAAAGAAAATTATCCTTCATATGTTTTAATTAATTACTTAATTATGATGCAAATGATGATGTCATTTTTGTCTATTAACATGAAAAATAAATATTAGTTATAACATATTGTAATGATTAATTGATTTAACATTTTTATATGAAAAAAATTATCATCTTCAGTTGGTTTAAACTGAAAACTTTTTCAAAAGCTTACAGTACAATAAAAATAGTAATTTCTTTCGATACACTTATCGCTAGAGTAAAGTCAATTCAAATTTGGAGGAAAAAAAAAGAAGTAAATTCGAAAGACTAATGATGATAAAATCGATGAATTGGTTGAAGAAAACCGAAGTTTAAGATGATATGATTGCATATGAGCAAAATATTAAATTATAGTTAATTTTATATGTCAAATCGTACTCGTAAAATAACAATGTTGGAAAATTGCAGAATAGTAAGTGGAAATGCTTTTAGGGAATCGGTTATGGTTTTTTGGATTAATATTATTAATATTGTTACGTTCTAATAGGAAACTGTCATTAAAATATTACTATAAAGTAGTTTTATCACGTTGAGACATTATCGTACATTACATACTGTGTTTCATGGTCAGAATTTATGATTGACATCATGAACATTACGTCGTCCACCAGTCACCTACACATTACGCAAATATACCCCTACCTGTTATAATGGTAAAAAGCAAAGTTGATCCCAAAGCTGAATTACACTAAACTGTGTAAATTTTAGGATATTTTTTAAAAAAATTGTCATTTTAATAGAAATTTTAGGTATTATTGTAACGTTAAAACAATTTGTTTGATTATACTTTATTTTTTAAATAAATTTATTTGCTACAATGTATAATGCATTATTACAAGTTATCTTTTAAATTAATGAAATATTCAGCGAATTACATAAGGGCCCCGAGAAATATATAAATAGGCAACAAGAGATCGGTACTCATTTACCATTAACTCTACATGTCTCTTCAGGGCCAGAATTACATAATGCCGCCTGGCATTAAGGATTTGTACATTATTTTTTCCATTCTACGCAAACCGTGTATTGTTACCTTTTTATGCATGCATTACTCGGGTCCAGTTGCATAAGTTTGTGATATATATTAATTATAATAAATTACTGCAGAACGCGATCTTGAAATTTGGTTATAATAAAAAAGTTAGTAACAAACAGTTAAAATAAATATTTTTTTTTAAAAAAAAAAATGGATCGGTTTAATATATTAGTTGCGCTAAAAAATAATTTGGCAAATGATCGGCAGGCCAGTACTAGCATTGCTACAGTTTCACAGTAAGGCTGGTTAGGAATTTCGTTACAATGTGGTACTTTGACGCTTGCTTTTAGCAGTAAGCCTATAGGTAATACTGCAATTTTGCAAAAGGCCAAGTTGTGTGGAACGGCGTGGTGCTATCTTAATATTTTTTACAAACTGGCGCATAGTACACTTCTTAGGAAGTACTTTGTTATTTCCATTTTGATGTATTAACCCGGTTTTATCAAGCATATTTTTTCAATATATTAAATCTAAATAACTTTGTAAGCTCTAACATTACACAATATTTGTTTCTAGTATTTATAAAAATGTTTTTTTAAATGTTATACGTTATTTGCTATCTTGTTAACTCGGGCTTAATAAATATAGAATATTTTATATTTATTATTACCTGCAAAATTTTAAATATGAATCGTAAAATATTTTGAAAATTGTAAAGTATTAGATTGAAATAATTATTTTAAAATTACTCATTAAGGATTACAAAAATATAAAAATATACATTATCAAATTGAGAATATAAAAAGTGTATTGAAAATGTTCTATCATTTATTACAAATCGTCACATACATTAACCCGCTACAACAATATCCTTTTAAGTGTTTCGGATAATTTTCAACTGTACCTGATACT